ATATATGCCTTTTGTTGGTATGTATGTTGTTTGTGGACGACACTGGTCGTCCAAAGTGCATGCGTTGGTCTCTCTCGGAGGATCTCGCCCGCCTCCCGGCGGAGCAGGGCTAAGCCGGGGCAGAGTTCGTTCGCGCTCAGGAAGTTCTGGCGGCGGCGCGCCGCCAGGTCAGCTCCGGGGGCCTTGGCTCCAGGGCCAGCCGGGCGAAGATGCCGGGGTCCGCGATGTTTACTCCAGGCCTGTGGGTGTTTGCGCGGCATCGCCGTGCTCGGATTTCCTCGAAGGCCGACGCTCTGGGGAGAAGCAGAGATGGCTGGGCCGGGCCAGCAGTTGCGGTTATTGCCGAAGGAACCGCGGCGTCGGTCGCCGAGAGGGCCCGCCTCTGGAAACGCCATCAGGAACAGGTTCGGCTGCGAATCTTGCAGAGGATTGCGGACTTCAGCTGGCCCAGGACCCCCAGTGGCGCGAGCTCCTCCAGTCAGTTTGGGCTGGGCGCGCGCCGGCGGTCGACGTTCAGAGGGGGGCCCCCTCCCCGACGAGGCCTGGGGCGAGCCCGCCAGGGCCCAGGGTGATCCTGGCCCCCGGCTTCCAGGGCCAGCCCTTCGACCTTCCTCTGAGGGAGCTGTTGACCCCTCGGTCTGCCCCCCTCCCCCTCCCCGACGGCCCCGGGGTCGTTGCCGCGTCGAGCTGGGGGGCCCCTCGAGCTGGATCGACGATGCCGCGGCTTCCGTCCAGGCCGCCTTCCCTCCCCGGGTAGTCCCCCGCCGAGCTGCCGCCCCCTCTCGTCGCATCGATAGACGACTCCGGGCAGGAGGCGCAACGGTCGGAGTCGTCAGGCTCCGAGGGTCCTGTTCGCTCCTCTGTCTCCTCTTTGCCGGGCCTTCTTCCCCCTCTCGCTCCTCTCCCCGCCTCGTCGTCGCCCCCGTCGCCCGGCGACCGGGCCCCGAGGGCGGGCGCCCTGGGGTCGGCCCAGCCCGGGGGCGCGCCGGCCTGCGCCAGGGCCGCCCGCGCCTCCACTTGGCCCCCCAAGGTGGAGAGGCGGCGTTTGGGGGCGATGGACTCCCGGCCCGATTGGGGGCGTTTGGGGGTCCTTCGATTTCTGCGTCGACTCCTCCTGTTCTGCCGCTGATTCCCCGCCTGGTCTAGGTGGCCCAGGCGATCTAGGAGTCTGAGAGCCAACGACGGGCCAAGAGGCGTCTCGAGGGCTCAGGGAGATTATCGAGGAGTTTCGAGCGACGGGGGCGATCTCGGCCCCGGTGGCCCGCTCGAAGGTATGAGGGCCCCAGGGATTTCCGGGTTTGCCCAGGTCCGCACGAAGGTTTGCGGACAGGCTGTCGAGCCCGAGGGCAGCCGGGGCCCGTTGGGAGAGGGGCTCCCTGGGGGCCTTGAGGTCGGAGGCAATTTCGCCGCCAGTCGGGGGGGGGGTCTGCCTTGGGAAGCGATCTCCCGCCGATGGAGAGAGGTTCGTTCTTTCTGACAGGAAGGGGTGGAAAGCCGCGGACCAGACGGGAGCTGTCGAGACCGCTCCGCCAAACAAGGCTCGGTTAATTCGGCGGGCCCCCCCCGGCGTGATTATTTTGAGTCGCGCGGTGAGAGGGTGGGGGCCGGGCGGGGGCGCGTTTGCCGAGCCCGATGCAAAGGGCCTCGGGTGTGTCTGTCCATGGGCGCTTCGATCTCGACTCCGGCGCCCATGCCCCAACCCCCCAGACGTCGCCCATCATCCTTGTTTCTCCAGCTCCTTCTGTACATGGCAATGTCCAGAGCTCACCGACGTCGAGAGCGCTTTCTGTCAGTCAGATCCCATGCGTCTTGTAAGAGGTGAGATCTACGTGGGGCCCTGCGAGGGGCTCGAGCTGCGGCCCGGGGGCCGTTTTTTGTGTCATCCCCTGGCGACGGCGACGTGTGAGAATGAGGTGGGGGGAGGACGAAGAGAGGAGGAGAAGGAGGAGGAGGAGGAGGAGGAGGAGGAGGAGGAGGAGGAGGAGGGGTTCGTCTTCTCGTCAACGTCTGCGGGCTCGACGATGCATATTGGTCGCCCCGGGGGCGGCCGCTCGTGTTTTTTTTTTTTTTTTTTTTTTTTTTTTTTTTTTTTTTTTTAAAAAAAAAAGCCAGCAGAGCTTCGTGAGATCCTCGCGGGGGGGCCTTGCTGGTGGGCCCGGCGTGATTCCAACGTTGAGATCAGGATCGTGAGACTGCTTGAGGTAAGCCATATTGTGATGGCCAACTCCCGCGGCCAGGGCAGGAAGTGGCTCCGCCCCACCCCCGAGGCTCGGTTCAGGTTTGGCATGTACAAAGGATTGTCACGCGGGGCCCCTTGGACTTTGCATGTGGAAACTCGCGTTCGGACCGGGCTTGGTGGCGGTGGTCGATGGAAGTATATCCTGGGGGAGATTCGCCGCAAGTCTCTGGCCAAGGGTCGTGTCCGACATCAAGGAGCCACACTGGATACCAGCGATTTTAAAGCCCTTCGCTCGCTCGCGTATAAGTTCAACTGGGTAGGTAGAGAAAGCCGGCTTGTTGCTGCAGGAGTGGCCCGTATTCTTGCCAGTTGGCTGGCTGCCCCGTGGATCCAGGACGTCGCGCGTGCCCATCGGATGGCGAAGCATCTTCGGTCCACGGCCTCGAGAGGTTCGGCGATATGGAAGCTCGGCCCGGACCGCCTCGCCTTCGCATCCTTTTCCGACGCCGAGGGTGTGGGCTTTGATCTGAGCGCAGATGACGAAGGAGGTGTGCCCATGGACCCGACGCAAGGTGCCTGGGTGATCTTGGCAGCCGACAAGTCGGTGATGACGAACATGAAGTTCAAAGTTTTTTCTTTGGGTGGCGCAGTAGCAATCTCCGCCGCAAAGTGCCTTCCACCCTGACCGGCGAGACCCAGGCTCTCCGCAGCTGTGGCCGAGGTAGAATATCTGAAGGTGCTGTATCGTGACGTGATGTTTAGAGATGTGGACCGTTTACCATTGCAATTTGCCGAGATTGCAGTTTGCGGAACCGCAGAGACCAGGCCCACGGCGTAGATGCCAATTCTATTTACGATATTATGCAGAAGCGAGGCAATGCCTCGGCTAAGGACAAAAGGACAGCGTTGGACCTCGCGATCATATGCGAGCCTTTCGGGAGAGCCCAGGGTCGTGTGCGTTGGATACCTCTCGGCCGCATGCCTGTTACCGCCCTGACTAAGGACGACCTTTTCTATGTGCAGTGCGGCCATGTTTGAGCTTATGACCCACGGGAAGTTTGTTCTTTTCGGCGAGGGGTCAGAGGTGGAAAGGAGGAGGACTGCACCTGAGTTGGAAGGGCTGGTCGCCGTCAGCATCCAAGAGGGTGTTCGTCGAGACCCGCCATGCTCACCTGGGAGGAATTTCTGCATCCTGGCCAGGCCTCGTCGGTGCTCGTTGGTGCTGGTGGTGGTGGTCCTCCATCCTCTCCTGTATATTTCTCGCTCCAATATCCCGTCTCCCCATTTTCCTCGGCCAGCGGGCCGGACAGAGAAGGAATAATGGAGAGTTGATGCATGCGTATTTGTGTATTTACTTATGTTGGCGGACATCAGTAGTATGTTACCTGGGGGTGCCGAGGAAACGTTCGTGTTGCAATGTGCCACGTGTCTTGTTTTTTTGTGAAGACAGCTGAACCTAAGAGAAAGTTTGACGAGTGTGCGATATCACTTGGTTTTCATGTATAGGTTCAGCCCAGGGACCGTGGTCATTGTGTACTACTGTGCGCCTTTTGGCCCAAGTGGAAACATATTCCATTCCTTCTCGCTGCCACGCCATGATGATGACCATGACGACGACGGTGCTGATGCTGATGCGGACGTAGCTGATTATGATGATGGTGCTGATGACTACGATGCTGATGTTGATGTGGTGATGATAATGGTGATGAGGGTGCTGCTGATGATGGTGGTGATGATGATGTTGATACGGCTGATGCTGATGCTGGTGATGATGATCACGAGGGTGATGGGTGTGGGGCTGGTGATGTTTTAAATTGTGATGATGTCGCTGTTGTTGCTGATGGTGCTGCTGATGATGATGTTGATGCTGCTGCTGGTGCAGATGTCGGGGATGAAGATGGGGAGGCTGATGATGTTGACGATGGTGATGATGCTGATGATGATGATGCTGATGATGATGATGATGATGATGATGATGATGTTGATGATGCTGATGATGATTATGATGAGGATGGCGATGATTGGCCACGCTGGTGATTGACCGGTGATGCTGATGGTGGTGGTGGATGTGGTGGTGACCATGGTGATGGTTCTGCTGCTGCTGCTGATGATGATGATGATGATGATGCAGCTGACGATGATTTTGATGTTGCTGTTGTTGATGATGATGCTGTTGCTGATGCTTATGGTGTTGATGATGCTGATGCTGAGGCTGATGCTGATGATATTGAAGGTGGTGGTGGTGGTGGTGTTGATGGTGGCGGTGGTGATGATGATTCTGCTGATTGTATTTTGTCGACAGGACTCCGATGGCGATAATTGATCGGACTGTGTTTCCGCATTTGCGGTAGTGGTGGTGGTTGTGAGGAGGAGAAGGATGATGATGATGATGATGATGATGATGATGATGATGATGGTGAGGGAAGCGAGGCGGAGGAGGAGGAGGAGGCGGAGGAGGAGGAGGAGGAGGGGGACGAGTAAGGGGAAGAGGAGGAATCATATTTGATGGAGGGGAGAGAACGCCAGGATAAATGATGAGGGAGCAATGCAGCAGGGAGAAGAGACGGCAATCTCGGACGAGAGGAGGAGGGAGGATGGGGGCGGGATGTGCGAGAGAGAAGTGAGGAGGGAAGAGGGAAGAGTGATGAGGAGAGAACGACGGGGAGGAGGAGAATGAGGACGAGGCGGAAGGCGAGGAGGACGGACTTGGATGATGACGTGCAGGAGGAGGAAGAGTAGGCGGAGGCGGAGAAGAGGGATGCACGATTGTCGAGGCGGACGTCGATGTGCCTCGCGTGATGCCTTGAGCTGCGCGCGGCAGGAGCAAGGGCGACAAGCTCATCCGACTGTGGAATCTGGAGGCGGAGAGGGCGGCGCTCCCTCTCGGAAAGGAAGCCTCACATCATCGTCATCATCGCCACCACCACTGCCAGCCTCGTGCCTAGATGTCCGACATTTGTTTGTTGTTTGTTTTAGTTCTTTCATTCTTAGCAGTTTTCCTCGATCCGGTCTATGGGGTACGTTATCGGGCCCCAGGACCATCAATCATAGATCCTGGGCGAAACATTAGCCCTGGGTAGCGGTCGGGACGTCTGAGGCCGCGCATTCAAAAGGTCATACCGGCGGATGTCGGGATGTTAGCACGGAGTCTACTAATATGATGTTGGACGCCCTGATGAATAAGCGAGCTCCGCCTTCGGCCAGGGAGGCGCCGAGGCGATGGCCGTCTGTTACGTCGCGGGAGGGGGGTTTGCGTCAAAGACGGCACAGGCATCTGCGTTCGAAGGTCCGCGCGGATCTCTTGGGTCGGCGCTGGTCGGGCCGTTCCTAGGTCTGGGAACCTACTCGTGGCCGAGGCTCGCCGTGGCCGGCCACGCGGAGTCACGACACCGCACGGCACCACGCTGAGCTACCTGTTGCCGCCATCCGTGCGACCTCTGCCTCCGTCTGCTGCCTCTGCGGCGCCCTCGGGTAAGGCCAGAGGAGGCGATGGTGTGCATCCAGGGGCCACCGATCCAGTCCGATTTCGACTCCGTGCCGATGCACGCCGAACCGGCGCAACTCAGGAGGGAAAGGAACACACAGACACAATTAATCGTCGATTTCCAAGACAATATGAGAAAACATGGGAAGTGGGAGGAGGACAAAAACAATGAAATTATCCCAGTGTGACCCTACCTAGGAGTTGGAGCCCCTAGGAAAGCAGCATTAGTAGTAACAGAAAAGCTAAGCTAAAGCTAAGATGAAGCTAAGCTAAAGCTAAGCTAAAGCTAAGCTAAAGCTAAGCGAAATCTAAGTTAAAGCGAAGCTAAAGCTAAGCTAAAGCTAAGATAAAGCTAAGCTACATCTAAGCTAAATCAAAGCTAAAACTAAGCTAACGCTAAGCTAGAGCTAAGCTAAAGCTAAGGTAGAGCTAAGCTGAAGCTAAGCTAAAACTAAGCTAAAGCTAAGCTAAAGCTAAGCTAAAGCTAAGCTGAAGCTAAGCTAGAGCTAAGCTAAAGCTAAACTGAAGCTAAGCTGACGCTAAGCTAGAGCTAAGCTAAAGCTAAGCTGAAGCTAAGCTGAAGCTAAGCTAAAGCTAAGCTAAAACTAAGCTAAAGCTAAGCTAAAGCTAAGCTAAAGCTAAGGTAAAGCTAAGCTAAAGCTAAGCTGAGTCTAAGCTAAAACTAAGCTAACGCTAAGCTAGAGCTAAGCTAAAGCTAAGCTAGAGCTAAGCTGAAGCTAAGCTAAAGCTAAGCTGAAGCTAAGGTGAAGCTAAGCTAAAGCTAAGTTAAAGCTAAGCTGAAGCTAAGCTAAAGCTAAGCTAAAGCCAAGCTAAAACTAAGCTAAAACTAAGCTAAAGCTAACCTAAAGCTAAGCTGAAGCTAAGCTAAGCTGGGTGAACCCAGGGGGGGCAACTGGGGGAACCGCGGGGCGGGGACTGGGGGAACCGCCCGGGGCGGTTTCCATTGCCCGGCCCCTTTAGCTAACAGAGTAAGAACCCTTCTAGGCAGAGCCTAGGTAGGGAAATATGGGAAAATATGGGGAACCCCGTTATTTGTGTCTATTTATTTGTGTGTCCCAGGGCCCCTTCAGGCACCCCGAGGCTGGAAATCCGCCGAGAACCAACGCAAGCGCCAGAAAACCTCGACGCATCGAACCCGAAACTCCAAAGTTCCGCCCACCCCCCTCTCCCCCTTATCGTAGCCCGTCAGGTAGATCGCCCGGACAGTAGCCGTCACGTGTAGCTCGTAGTGCCGTCTTCAAGATGGCACCACGAGCTACCCTTGACAGCTGGTGCCCCGCGTGTCTTTCCCAGGCCCCCGTTCACTGCAGTAGTTTGCCAATTGCAGGTCGGCTAGTGAGGAAGTATGGCTTTGCCTAGCGACTCTCTGACTCGCACTGTGTTTTTCTATAGCCGAGGTGTCGAACCCTGGTGGTCGCGTTCCCTCCTCCTCTTTCTCCTCCTCCCCCTCCTCCCCGTTTTCCTCCTCTTTTTGGCAACATCATCTTATCGTTGTCCGCCAGAGAGAGGGAAAGAGCGGCCTGGCAGCTCGGCTCCGTGGGCGAGCAGATCCTGGCCACCGCGTCGCCTGCGCACATGGAGTGGGGCCACGCGCCCGTCCACATCAAGGGACCCGCCCGCCGCGCCCGCCGGGCCCGTGCGACGGGGGCCCTCCTGCCTGGAGATCCGGGCGTTCCCGCCCGGCTCGGAATCCCGGGGCACTCGCGGATCAATCCGGCTCGCCAGGTGCCGCAGAAAGATGCGGGCTTTCGGGGTTCGTGCAAGGGAGGGGGCTGTCGCAGATGGGGGTGAAAAGAAACAATCCAGCTGAATGCTCATGATGGGCCTGTTTTCCACCACCACCACCATAAGTTGGACTGGGGGAAAGAGGTGGAGGATGAGGAGGAGGAAGAAGAAGAGGAGGAGGAGGACCCCCTCCCCCTCCTACTTATGGTGGTGGTGGTGGAAAACAAGCCCACCAGCTCACATTTCTCGTTCTTGGGGGCAGTCTGCAGCGCTGTTCCTGCAGCCCACCTCTGCCCCTGCCCCACCTTCACTCCCCCCCCCCCCGGGTCCAGGGCTCCGGCCGTGATCTTTCGCGAGGTGTGCACTTCTTTACAGCGTCGGATCTCAAGTGGGGCGCCGCTCGGCCCGGGATGCTCGCACGATCGAAGTGGGGACGTGAAGATTGGCAATCGTGAGTTTTCGAACCCAGAGATCCGAGGCTCCAAGAGCATTGGAGAGGCTGGATTCTGGAAGTTTTCAGGTTCTAGAGGCCCTCGCCAGGTTTCAGGACCGTCAGAAACGCAGAAACGTCTCAGGACGAACAACAATTCCCGGGGGAAGTTGTCCAGACCTTTGGGGGCCCACGCATCGAAAACGTTTGAGCGGTCGGATGTCTGGGTAACTGCGAAAGCATACGTTTACGAAGGTCCGCGCGGATCTCTTGGATGTGCGCTGGACCCCCCTTGGCGGCTTTAATGCGCCGCCAGGTAATCATTGTTTAAGTTGTCCCCCTGGAAAAATATTCGACGGAGAGCGACAAACGTGTGTGGTGTAAATATATAAACGCATGCGCATGCATTGCCAAATACATTCGGAATTTTTGCGTGCTGATGTATAGGCTGCTCCGGTCGGCGACTAAGCAGTTTTCGTCCTCCTACTGGAACAGTGTACGTGCGTATGCTTCCCACACAGCATGGGCCATGGCGGCCGCGTGCGCGGCGGCCTTGCCCCTTGCGCAGTGTTGCGTTTCCCACGCAGTATGCCAGGGCCGCCACGCGCGCGGCGGTCCTCGCCCTTCGTGCATGGTATGTTTTCCCGCACAGAATGGGCCAAGGCCGCCGCGCGCGCGGCGGCCTTGTCCTCGCGCGCTGCGCGTTTTCCCGCACAGAAAGGGCCAGGGCTGCCGCTCGCGCCCCTCGCGCGCTGTGCGTTCTCTCGCGCAGAACGGGCAAAGGCCACCGCGCGCGGCGGCCCGGGCTTCTCGTTTTTTTTTTTTTTTTTTTTTTTTTTTTTTCTTGTTGTTGTTGTTTTTTTTTTGGGGGGGGGGGTCCGTAGTAGATGCGCGCGGGCCGCCGCGCACGCGGCCGCCCATGGCCCTAAGCGCGTTGCGTTTTCCCATCCATTATTCGCGTGGGTCGCCGCGCGCGGCGGCCCATGACCCTTCGCCCGTCGTGCTTTTTCCATGCAGGATGCGGGTGGGCCGCCGCGCGCGCGGCGGTCCATGGCCTTTCGCGCACTGTGTTGTTCCATCCATGATGCGCGTGGGCTGCCGCGCGCTCGGCTGCCTATTGCCGCTCACGTGTTGCATGTTTTCCATGCGAGATGCGCGTGGGCCGCCGCGCGCGCGGCGGCCCCCGGCCCCTCGCGCGTTTTTTTTTTGTCCAGACAAGGTGCGCGTAGGCCGCCACGCGCACGGCGGCCCTGGTCCCTCGCGCATTGTTGTTCCCCTTTCTCTCCTCTCGCTATTGTTGTTGTATATATATATTATATTTATATATATATAATATATATATATATATATATTATATATATATATATCAATGCGAGATGCGCGTGGGCCGCCGAGCGCTCGGCGGTCCATGGCCCCTCGCGCGTTTTGTTTTTCCATGCAAGATGCGCGTGGGCTTTCGCGCGTCGCTGTTTCCATGCAAGATGCGCGCGGGCCGCCGCGCGCGCGGCGGCCCGCGCCCCCTCGCGCATTCTGTTGTTCGATGCAAGATTCGCGTGGGCCGCCGCGTGTGCGGCGGCCCTGGCCCTTCGCGCAGCGTATTTTTTCGATGCAATGCGCGCGTCGGCCGCAACGCGTGCGCGGCGGCCCATTGCCATTCACGCGTCGTGTTTTCCATGCAAGATGCGCGCGGGCCGCCGCGCGCGCGGCGGCCCATTGCCAGCCCCCGTATGTTTTTTCCATGGACGATGCGCGCGGGCCGCCGCAGGCGCGTGGGTCGCCGCGCGCGCGGAGGCCCATGGCCCCTCGCGCGTAGTTTTTCCAATTGAAAATGGGCGCGGGCCCTCGCGCGGGGTTGTTTCCACGCAGGGTGCGCGTGGGCCGCCGCGCGCGCGGCGGCAGATGGCCGTTCGCGTATTTTTTGGTCGTGCAGAATGCGCGTGGGCCGCCGCGCGCGCGGCAACCCATGGCCCCTCGAGCATTATCTCCCGTGCCAGATGTGCGCGTGGGCCGCCGCGCGCGCGGCGGCCCATCGGCCCCTCGCGCGCTGTATTCTTCCCATGCAATATGCGCATGGGCCGCCGCGCTCGCGACGGCCCGCGAACCCTCGCGCGCTGTGTTTCGCTTTGCAAGATGCGCGCGGGCGCGCGCGCGGCCCTGTCCCATCGCCCATGGTGTTTTTCCATGCAGGATGCGGCTGGGCCGCCGCGCGCGCGGCGGCCCATTGCCCCTCGCGCGTACTTTTGTGTTTTCCTTTTGTTCGTTTTCCTTATTTCGTGTTTTTCTTCTTCCTTCCATGCGCGATGCGCGTGGGCCGCCGCGCCCGCCGCGGCCCATTGTCATTCGCGCATTGCGTCGTCCCGCGCATGCAAGACGCGCGCCGGCGGTCGCGCGCTCGGCGGCCCATTGCCCTCGCGCGTTTTTTTGTGCGCATCTCATGCGCATCGCGTTTTTTCCGTGCCAGCTTTGTGCGGGCCGCCGCGCGCGCGGCGGCCCATTGGCCCCCTGCGCGTGGTGTTTTTCTATGCAGCGTGCGCGTAGGTTGTCGCGCGCGCGGGGGCCCTGGCCCCATCGCGCATTGCGCTTGCCCATGCGAGATGCGGCGGCCCTGCCCCCCGTGTGTGTGTTTGCAGGGTGTGCGTGGGCCGCGGCGCGCGCGGCGGCCCTGTGCCACTCGCGCATTGCGTCTTGCACGTGCGAGATGCGCGCGGGTCATCGCTCGCGCGGCGGCCCATGGCCCCATCGCGCATTGTGTGCTTCCATCAAAGATGCTCGTGTGCCGCCGCGCTCGCGGCGGCCTTGGCCTCTCGCGCGCTGAGTTCTTTCGAGCAGGATGCGCGGGGGCCGCCGCGCGCGGCCGCGTGTTGCCCCTCGGGCCTTGCGTTGTGTTGTCCCATGCAAGATGCGCGTGGGCCGCCGCTTGCGCGGCTGCCCTGGCTCCTCGCGCATTGTTTTTCCATGCGGGGTGCGCGTGGGCCATCGCGCGCGCGGCGGCCCCTGGCGCCTCTCGCGCTCTGTGCTTTTCCGTGCGGGATGCGCCCTCGCGCTTTGTGTTTTTGTGTATGAGATGCGCGTGGGCAGCCGCGCGTCCGTCGTGCAATATTCGCGTGGGCCGTCGCGCGCGCGGCGGCCCCTGGCCCTCGCGCGCTGTGTCTTCCCCGTGCAAGATGATGTGGGCCTCCGCGCGCGCGCGCGCGCGGCGGTCCATGGTCCTCGCGCATTGTGTTTTCCCATGAAAGGTGCGCGTGGGCCGCGGTGCGCGCGGCGGCTCTGGCGCCTCGCGCGTGTTTTTTGTTGTTCGCGCAAGATGCTCGTGGGCCGCCGCGCGCGCGGCGACCCTCAATCGGAGATAAAACCGCAGCGATTTCCGATTTGCGTTCCAACTTAACAGTGGTCTTTACCTTTTCGTCGATCGGTGCAGCCTACACAGCGCCGACGCTTCCGCGCGCGCGTGCGGCGTGAACCCGCGGCCGCAGCCGATTGGATTTCCGATTTCATGCGGTCATTACATTTTGCTTTCGTCCATTGATCCACTCCATGGCTCAAGTGTCCCGAGTGCGCGGGCAAGCGACGGTTGCGTACTCTGCTCGCGTTACTCCTGCCACTGTGCGCGATGTCGAAGCATGCATCTGCCTCCGGCAGCCCCCCCGGCAATCGCAAGCAGACGAAGGTTGCGCCTCGACCAGGCCGAGTCGGAGCACTGTTCACCGAGCTCAGAGATGTGATGGGAAGTCCTGGGGCCAAAGTTGACGCCAGCATTGCCATCGCTTAGGAAGCTAAGAACGAGGCGAAGTCCGCCGAGCAGGAAGCCCTGGATGCGTCGCTGGCCGCTGCCGGGATTGAAGATACGATAAAGACGACTAACACTACAGTGGGTGCTGTCAAAAAGGAAGTCGAGTCTATGAAGCGCTCGAGGCCACCGACAACGCCGACCAGGACAACCCCGAGAGGCATAGGCAAGTCCTTGCAGTCGGCTTCAAAGAACGCTTTGCCGCGGACCTCATGATTGAGAAGATCGAGGCCATGTTTGCTGAGGACCTAGGGCAAGGCCACGCTTCCAGAGTGGAGGCCGGCGGGGGCCCAGCGCGAATGGGCATCATGAGCTGCAAGGGCAGCGACGACGTGAAGCCCGTGTTTTTCCGCAACAGCCGCGCGCTGGAGGCAGGGGCCAACGGCGAACTCCTTGGGCGCGCCAAGTGCCATCCCATCGACGAGAACCATGCCGCGGTCGATGATGTCAAAGTCATTTGGCGGAAGAACACGGTGGAAGTTCGCGGGCGCAAGGCGGCGTGGGTCGACGAACTTGGACCTGGCGCGCTACTGGCACCGCTAAGAAGGTAGGAAGACGTACTTGGAAGACGAAGCTGGGCCCTGACCCAGCAACAGAGTCCGAGGTGCGCTGCGTACTACCCTCGTGGGAACATGAGGCCCCCGTGCCTCAGCGCACACAGTTGTCA